TAGCTCAATTGGTTAGAGCATTGTCTCAATATGTCAAAGTTGTGGGTTTGATTTTCAGTCAGGGCAAACACAAGAAGCAACCAATGTCCCTGAGTGGTTTTGCTCAGTGGTTAGAGTGTCAGCCCTCAGACCAAAGGGTCACAGGTTCGATTTCTGGTCAAGGGCATATACCTGAGTTGCAGGTTTGATCCCTGGCCCGGATCTGGAAGTATTTGGGAGACAACCAATGAATGTGTCTCTCTCACATAGATGTTTCTCTCTCTCTCTCTCTGCTCCCTCACTTCCACTCTCTCTAAAAATTCAATGGAAAAAATATCCTCAGGTGAGAATTAAAAACAAAACAACAATAAGAAAAGCAAACAATGAATGCATAAATAAGTAGAACAACAAATAGATATTTCTCTCTCCCTTCCTCGCTTTCAAATAAATAAAATTTAAAAAACAACAATATTTATTAAGCACATACTATAGCACTGAACAAAACAGACAAAAATCCCTGCCCTCATAGAGCTTATATTCTATTGCCAACGGACATACAATAAGAGAAAAAAATAAGTAAAATACATCATACATTAGAGGGCTAAGGAGAAAAACAAAGCATGGAAAGGGTAAACAGTGCAGGGGATACAGACTAAAAGTTTAAAAAGGGCAAGTGAGAGGAGCAGGAGATGAGGTCAGTGAGGGAAAAGGGACTACTAGACCATGCATTTTTATTCCAAGGAAGATGGAGAATTTTTTTCTTTTTAAAATGTTTTTATTGATTTTAGAGAGAGGTGGGGAGAGAAACATTGATTGGCTGCCTCCTGCATGCCTCCTATGGGGGATCAAGCCCACAACCTGGGCATGTGCCCTGACTTGGAATCGAACTGGTGACCTCTCGGTGCACAGACAACACTCAACCAACTAGTTACACCGGCCAGGGCAGAAGATGGAGGATTTTGAAGAGGCTTGACATGAGTGGATTTACATTTTAATAGGAAGAGCCTAACTGCTGTGAAGAAATTGAAAGAGTGGCAGTAAAGATGAAAGCTGGAAGACTTAGTTATGGAGCTCTTGCAATAGTCCAGGTGAGAGATGATGGATCTAGGAGAATTGGATCAGGATATGAGAAGTTGGTGCAATAGGACCAGTTTCGGAACATATTCTAAAGGGAAGGTGCCAGCATCACTGTTTCTCAGGCCAAAAATCTAGGTCTCTTTTCTTTTTAAGTCTTTAGTGTTGAAGGTATTACATATGTCCTCTTTGACCTCTTCTCACCTTCCCTGCCCCACACCCCAGGCCTTCACCACCTGTTGTCTGTGTCCATGGATTATGCATATATGCATACAAGTTCTTTGGTTTATCTATTCCTACCCACTCTCCCTCCCCCTAGGTCTCAACCTTGATTCTTCTCTTTCC